GAATCGATATCTCAGGTATAGGGCAATTTTAATTAAATTTTAATTAATTACTCATTACGTAAGTTGTTATATTTTAAAATCATTATAAGGTCATCTTTTCCAAAAAAAAATTTACAGTAACATATATTCCAAGAATCATGTTTATTAAGAAAAGTTAATTAATCAGGCTAATTAAGGGTAATCGATGATCGATCATGCAAGAATGCATTGTATAAACATTTTAATAATATTAATTAATTATACACACACTCACACAAAGACACACAAACATAAACACACATAGACAAACAGACAGACACATACACACAGATGCATGGTTATCAAATAATTATATATATATATATATATATATATATATATATATAATTGTTAAATATACAGTATACAATATGTATATATAATGTTATATTATAGTTCATTCTATTAATCATCTTTAATATCGATAAACGTTTTTTCCACTTTTGTTTGTTTGTTTGCTTGTACGTGTATTTGTTTGTGCACGCGAGTATGTGTGTACGTGTCTGGTTACGAAAAAGAGAAGACAGAGGTGTAAAACTATAGGATACATTAATGTGTGCATATATATGTATACAAAACACGCACACGCACACACATACGTTACATGTATGTGTGTGTGTGAATGTTGTGTGTGTGTGTGTGTGTGTGTGTGTGTGTGTGTGTGTGTGTGTGGTGAATGTGTGAAAGTGCATGGCTAAATTCCCCGAAGGAGGCTATATAAATGCTAGCGTTGATGCCGAGTTATCCAAAAATTTCACACGGAGCAATATTCGCGGAGACAGCCAGGACATCAGGCAAGTTATTTCTACTATAATAATAATTATTATTATTATTAAATATTATTAATTTTTTTATTTTATGGAAATTATCTTCTTTTTATTTTAAGTTATGTAGAAATTATTTTATGTTTTGTTGGTGATTGTTGTTTAAAATTTAGTCTGCAATGTTTTTCATGTGAGAAGATTTTTGAAAAAAAAGTTTAACACAGTTCTCGAGATTTTTTCTTCATGTTTATATTATCTACATTAGAATTAAATTAGTATAATAAATTAGATATTCATGTTTTTTATACTTTAAATATTTTAATTATAACCAATTTTTATTATAACAAAATGATGATCTTATTTGGCAGTTTTTTACCAAAAGAATAATTTCAGAGTCGGGGTAAGCCTTTTTGTTCTTGAATCATTAAAAATTTCATTAGGAAGTACAAAACTCTGGAAGCAAATTATTTTAATAAAGTTATTTTTCTTTACTTTGCGTATCAATTTTTCTTGTGTAAATTAGAAAGGGCTCGAATAATTCACTTGATTCCGTGATTTCTTTTCAAATAATTTCCACTCATTTATTATAATGTTCTCATTTGATTGCCAATTTATATACAGAAAATCATCATAGGCAACAAAAGAAGCAACACACACAACACAACGCAAACACTCATACACAACAACATCACCACAACAACATCACTACAACAACAACAACAACAACAACAACAACAACAACAGTTACCATAAGCAATGGAGAGCGGATTGAAATGTATGAGTATTAACAGTGACGACGTCGACACCAACAACAACCACAAAAAACCCTGGTTAAAGATGGTTCACAATGTCCCTATCGACATCATAGAGATACCCTGCAATCTGGGCCAGGTTTGTCGACTCTCTTTTTTTATTTTATATATTTCTCCAGTTTACCATATTTTATTCTCATTTATTTGTTTACTCTTTCATTCGTTAATTCATTTATTCATTCATTTATTTATTGGTTTTTCAATATTTTTTGAATATTTTCTAAAATTAACTGAACAAATATTCACTGGATCAATTATAATTGTCTGGTTTTTTTTCCTCTTTCGTACCTATCAACGCCGCACATTATTATTATTATAATTATTATAATAATAATAATATAAATAATAATAATAATAATAATAATAATAATAATTATTATTATTATTATTATTATTATTAGTAGTAGTAGTAGTAGTAGTAGTAGTAGTAGTAGTAGTAGTAGTTGTAGTGGTAGTGGTAGTGGTAGTGGTAGTAGTAGTAGCAGTAGTAGTAGTAGCAGTAGTAATAGTAATAGTAATAGTACTAGTAGTAGTATTAACAGGTTAAACAATTAATTATTTCTTAATAACATAATTATCATAAATTAGGAAACGAACACTAAACTACAATATTTTTTTCATCAGTATTACACAATACCTTATACAAATAAATTTATGATACCTAATTGTTGACGATCCAAACGTGCTAAAAAGTCATTAAAAATTAATATGAAGTCCCATATTTAGCTGAATCTGCTTCGTTTCAAATAACAAAAACGCACTTGGAAACACACACGCACACACGCGCACACACACGCGCAAACACACATATAAACAAACACACACATGCACAAACAAACCCATCAACACAACAACACACACACATATATACACACACGCACCACACACACACACAAAACACACGCACACAGACACAAAACTCACAAATACACACACATACACATACACACAACAATAATTTAGCATTCAAACAAATTAACACAGAAAACAATTCTAAATTAAAAATTTCTAAATTTGCGATAGTGCTCTGTTTACTTCATAACATAGCGCGCTGTGCTCTTTGACAAGACGGGGAAATAAACTACGGCAAATTAATCACATTATACATTCATACATGACATCTGATACCTACAAGAAGCAGATAATTTTTATTCATACAAGCGTGATATTTATTTATTTAAGAGTTAAATTAAATGAAATTCAGGTAAAAGAATTAAAAAATTTTTTTTCCCAATAGGATAAAAAAGGTGTGAGCGAAGGACCGGCTAGACTGATGCAGCACGGTCTGAAGGAACAACTGCTTGACATGAGTGAGAGATTTTGTTGTCACTGGTTGTTGTTCTAATAATAATATTAATAGTCAAATAATTGTAGTTGTTGTTTTAATAATAATAATAATAATAATAATAGCAGTTATAAAAATTATAATAATAATAATGTGATGATGATTATGGTGAGGATAATATAAGAAGTATAAGTATAAGGATAATATATGACGATAACTTTGACATTGAACACAATGGTGTTTGCTGATATTAGAAACAATGACATGATGATGGAGATGATGACGACGACGATGATGATGGTAGAGAAGATGACAATTATGATAATGATTACGATGACGACGATGACGATGACGCTGAGTGGACGATGAAGGTCGTGACGGAAATAACATAAGGGAGATAAACAAATTTAAAAATGTTTGTTGTGGGCTACGTTAGGAGGACGATCGTCATGTTTATAAATTAATTTATTATTCCTTTTTCAGCTTTTGCACTTCTTCATCGTCCTCTACACTCGATCTTTGACTCTATAAATCACACCCAAATTCAAGAACAACACGCCATATTACCACCACACCTAATTTAACACACCCCACACACGCACACGCACACACGCACGCGCGTACATACACACATATTTGCGCATTTATGAATAACACAAATTCAACACAAACAAAGGCGAATGTAGATAAATAATAACAACCAACTCATAAACTCTGACGTTTGGGAAGTAATTACAGCCAACAACAACCCACATCAACAACAACAACCAACAGCAACAACCAACATCAACAACCAACATCAACAACAAACACATCAACAACAACCAACATCAAAAACTAACACATCAACAACAAACACGTCAACAACAAACACATCAACAACAATATCACAAACAATTCACATTTTTTTAAAATGTTTATGATCTAAAGTACATTCATATGGCAGCGGCATTGAAAATTTGTTAAACTTTTGGCAACAAGGTTCATTTTGTTCATCAAATAAAATGTGTTCAATTATAAGCAAGTGCAAACATCTACAAACAAGATATCCAAACAAGTTTTACACATACCACACACACACACACTCACACACGCACACACACGCACACGCACATACACACGCACACACACACATACTAACATGTGCACTAACACACACACACACACGCACATACACGCCATTTAAAACGTACTTAACACACACACACCTGCATAAATAAACAAAACACACACATATATGATATATAAACATTTTAAAGTTACGAGCGCGCTCGTACACACGCACACACAAACGCACACACGCACGCACACACATACAATCAAGCAAACAAACAAACACACACAGGATTCTCCCACTTTTACACTTGATAGCGTATTAAGTTACGTGTTGAAATATAACTTTGCACCTGACCAAACTAACAAACACAAAAATAAATTTCACTGCAAACATTTCACTGCAAACATTTTCAAACACGCATACAAACATACGCACACATATAGACGCACGTAATTATGCATTTAATGAAGACTTCATTACATAGAACAGCAACACACACACACACACACACACTCGCACACACACACACACTAAATACAAATGAACAATACAACTTCAGTTAATGAAGGTTGTCACACTCTACACACCTACAAGACACACCTGCATAGGACGCGCACCTTAAAACAAAGCAACTAGGAGCAAGAGGAGCAAACACGTAACGCAGAAATATAATAACAACGCATTCGATTATAACCACACCCCTCTAAACTTTTACACATGCATTCTCACTTTTAATCAAACGAACGCTGTCGCACTTCCAGGTAGCAGGCACGTACATATAAACAATGCACAAAACCACATAAATAAACAACTCTATCGCTGTAGTAGTAGTAGTAGTAGCAGCAGTAGCAGTAATAGTAGTAGCAGCAGTTGTAGGTAGTAGTTGTAGTAGTAGTAGTAGTAGTAGTAGTAGTAGTAGTAGTAGAAAATAAACAATAGTTATGTGCACTTTAATACTACTTAACAAATTGTTCAAATGCTGAATCAAATACAACGAAACATGCGTCAACAATTAATTAAGCAATTGAATGTTCACAGATCTGAAGCTAGCTGACTGCCACGAGATGCATTTTGATGTGAATGGTACGAAAGATGACAGAGTCAGTAACGTCAAGAGAGCCAAAAGTGTTGGAAAAGCAAACGAACAAGTTCTACAATTACGCTTGTGTTTCATTGTGATGTTTTGTTGCTTTTGATACAAACGTCTATCGATCATAATATTATAATTTCTATAAAATTATTTTCAACTACGGCTCATTTCTAATTCATTTTTGTAATTCCTCGTCATCATATTCATTGCTATTTTCATCGACCCTATCATTATTGAAAAACGACAACTCGAACTGCCAACCAACCAACCAACCAACCGACAGATTGCCAAAGTAGTCGAGCAGAGCATCTCCCAGAATCATTTCTGCGTGGCTCTTGGGGGCGACCACAGCATCGCCATCGGCACCATCATCGGCCACGCCAGGGCTCACCCCAACCTGGCCGTTGTCTGGATCGATGCCCACGCCGATCTGAACCCCCCACTGGCCAGTCCGTCTGGAAATTCACACGGAATGCCTGTTTCGTTTTTATTACGCGAGTTGGTCGAGTACATTCCTAAGGATTTGCCTGGGTTTGAATGGGCCAAGCCATGGTTACTACTAATACTACTACCTACTACTACTATGACTACTACTACTACTACTACTACTACTACTACGACTACTATTACTACTACTACAACTAAGACTACTACTATTACTCTTTTTTTTTGGTTTTTACATGTATTATTAACGGTGTTATTAATTAGCCAAACGATGCAAACTGTTGGAAAATGTGACAAAAAAGATAAAATTAATATTCCAATGAAATTAACAATTGATTAAATGATCCTAATGGTGTCAACAAAAATAAAATGTACGAATTAATTAAAAATATCTTCATAACATTTATTGTGAAACGTTTTCTTGACACCTATTCAATCGTTTCTTCCCAAAGCCTCGGCGTCAAAGACATCGTTTACATTGGATTGAGAGATTTGGATGAAGCTGAAAAGTCAGTATTACATTATATAACACAGTCTCTATTACATCAGCGTTACATCGTCGTCATGATCATCTAAAATTATTATTGATATCATTTAAAAAATTGTATGTTATCATTATTTAATTTCGATTTCATCGCTTCGAATCATCTGTTCTGCATTAATCCATCATTATCTTACTATCGCCACATCATCTTCATCAACATCAACCCCCATTGTCCTAATCATCATTGTCATTGTCACCACAACACTAGCTACAACTCCACTATCGTCGCCATCATCCCAGGATCACAGTTATCACCACCATTATAATCATTACCATCATCATCATCATCACTATCACCACAATCACACCATCATCCTCATCTTTATCATCATCCTCACCACCATCACCAGAGCCCTTATAGAGAAGCACAACATCCTGGCGTTCACCATGAGAGAGGTCACTGAACTTGGGGTAGACGCCGTCGTCAGGGCTGCCATTAAATACATTTCACCCTCCGGGTACGTTACTACTACTACTACTACCACCACTACTACTACTGCTGCTACTACTTCTACTACTGCTACTACTACAACTACTACTACTGCTACTACCACTACTACTACTTCTGCTACTACTACTACTACTACTACTGCTACTACTACCCCTACTACTACTGCTGCTACTACCACCACTACTACTGCTGCTACTACTACTACTGTTACCACTGCTGCTACTACTTCTACTACTACTACTACTACTACTACTACTACTACTACTACTACTACTACTACTAATGCTACAGCAGCAACAACAACAACTACTACTACTACTGCTACTACTACTACTACTACTACTACTACTAATGATGTTACTTCTACTACTAACAATACTAACAATAATTTTTTTTATTATTAACAACAACAATAATAACAGCAACAACAAAAATAATAATAATAAAAAAAATTATTGCTATGCGTTAAAATTTCAGAACGCGTCCTATCCACCTGAGTTTCGACATTGACGGTCTCGATCCGACCGATGCAGCCAGCACCGGTACTCCAGGTATAATAATAACAATAATAATAAAAATAATAAAAACAATAACAATAATATTAATAACAATAATAATAATAATAGCATGTGTAAGTGTATAAGAATGTGCTGCGTGACAAACTAACGCTAATTCCAAATGGTATTCTTAACTTTTAGTTTCAATACCGATAACTAAAGCTTTGTTCTTTCGCCATTGTCGTCGAACTGACGCTAAACAGTTCAAACTTCCCATTACTTCGAACGTGTTTATTTTTATTTGCTTCTCTAAACATTTTGTAATGATTCGTTTTATCTCATTTCTCTCTCTCTCCAATATCTCACAACATTCTATCTGTCTTTCAAACAAATAATTCTAAGTAGGATGTCCGTCCATGCATTTTTTTCGTATTTGTATCAAGAAACCTGAAATTTTTTAGCCATAATAATTCCATAAATTCACACGAAATCGCAAACTCCTAATTTGATGAACTTATTTCAGTTGAAAAATTTTCTATTAACAGCATGCGAAGAAGAACAACACAAACCAATCCAAACCACATATGCACATAGAACTTGTTTAAGCTTTGAAATCGTCAACAAAAGCATTAGCATTGCTTGAATGTTTCAATGGTTGATCATTTTGCGTCTCTTGCACGTTCACTGTGATTAATTATATTATAACATTATTCAGCTATTTATAAAAGGTTTTCCCATATTATTTATCGCATCGCTGTGATTGCATAACACAAAATAAAATTTAATCAAAGCGAAATTAAAATTAATTTGATTTAAACTTAAATGCCAAACGATTGAATCAGGGGTGGGCAAACTTTCTGCTGTGAGGGCCACATTGAGGAATATTTTACTTATGAAGGGCCGCACATGTACTTAAATAGCAAATTAATACTAATATAAAAATATTATAATTTTGTTACTGTTACTAGAATAGTAATTAATAAATAAAATAATAAACTCAATTAGCAAATTATTAATACATTTATTTTTTTTCGATTAATTATAATAAAAATAATTATAACAGTGCCTGGAGGCCTGCTCTTAAGAGAGGGAGTCTATATAACCGAAAGCCTTGCCGCAACCGGTTCGTTACTTATTTTCTCTTTAAATCTTTTAGAATTTTAATGTTCAATATTTTTGTGTTGTTCTAATAATGTTAGAATTAACATTATAGTTAGAAGTCATCGTCATCATTGTTATCATCGTCACCACCATTTATACTCCTACCATAATTAAAGCCATCATCGTAATCACCATTTATCCTCCTACCCTAACTTAACTAAGCCATCGTCGCCATCTCCATCTAGGCCATCTACAAATGATTGACATGGTGGAAGTAAACCCTACCCTTGGAAGTTCCAAAGAACAAGTTCGCACCTTACAGTCCGCTTGCGAAATCATCGGAGCCTGTTTCGGTAAGAGAAACCGCAAGCTAATGTCTCCAGGGTACATAATTCCTAAACCTTAATCATGTGACTGACCTTCACCTAACCCTTAATCATGTGACCTTAACCCTCATAATGTTAATTTTACCTTGATTAATATTAATTTTACGTAAATATCATAATGGTCTGACGTTATTAAGGACTACATTATCATAATAAATGATGACGCTTGGCTTTGGAAAACAATTATTTTTTGTTTCGCGTTTGTATATTCTGCAAATTATTTGATTAAATAAATAAATAAACGTACCCAAAAAATATTTATATGAATTTTTATATAATTTAATATCACGGAAATAGACATTTTGTACATTGCGTATGTTCTTCCATCTCCATTTGTTTCGATTCAGATTTTTACGATGGTGTTTATATTTCTTCTCTAGGATAAAATTTTAAATAAAGAGTTTTTTTTTTCAAAATTTATTAACTTCTTTGTACAATGTTTATTTCAAGTTTGGATTGGGTATCTATTTGATTTTACTGATTACTTTACAAAATTTTTCATTAGTAATTTTTTTGCGTAGAATTAATTTTTTCATTCGGAAGTATTTGAGAATTCTTGATTGAATATTCCATGTATATAGAAAATATACTAATTATATGAATATACATATATATATATATATATATATATATATATATATAAGGATTATTTTTCTATACTTTTTAGATGAAATTTTTACATTTAGAGGGTTTAAAAATTGTTCAGAATGAATTTTTATGTGAACATTTTACTTATTTGATGATAGCGTTTTTTGTTGAATGTTTCAAACTAATTTACTGAACGCTGAAATTTAAGAGTGAATCAAATTTGCTATTTTATCATTTTCATGACTGATTATCATAATTTAAATGCTTTCTTATATCAATCAGTTTAATCACTTTTTCATTTAATTGTATTTCCACTTATAATAGTTAGCACAAACAAAACATTTTAATACAAAATTACAAAACGAAGTGACCTTACGATAGATTCTTTTGATATATCGGCTTTATTAAAATTTTTGATTCTTTTGATATATCAACTTTTTTTAGACATGTTATTTCATTAAAAAAATGTTTTTTATATTTATTATTTTGATATAAATATTATATATATGCATTGACGGATCTAGGGGGAAGAGGGCTGTGCTCTCCGTTGTAAGCAATTTTTAAATGAAAGCCAGAAAAGGGATCGTTTCAGATAGAAAATCAGAAAATCAATCACAAATTGGACGTGATAAGCAAAAAATGGTCGTAAGCCACAGTACCACAAATTTTGCCCCCTCTCCCGTAAAAATTTGGACAAAGTTATCTAGATCTGCCACTGCATATCTGTGTATAATGATTAAACTATGGATATATACCCATGGTTAAATGTTATTATATCATTAGTATTTTTGTAATTTCATACCAATTTTGTACATTTTTGTTTGTCAACTGATAAAGTCATTAATAATAAAATCGTAAAATTAGCTTTTAGACCGTTCGCGTATGCCGCCATGCTCATGAGGGGTTTGTAAAATTTTGTTTAAGGGGTGCCGAATAATTGTTTGTGACTTTTTGTTGACCAAAAATGACATAAAGCCTCCTGAAAGAAAAGAATGTTGATAAAATTGTGGCCTTTTTCAAACGACCATTTTTATCCATAGTTAATCTTTTAGTTAATAATTTGTTTTTTTTTTATTTGAAAGAAGTTTTTCTGTTATTATTAATTTATATCGCGTCCTATGCATAGCTTCAGGGACGCTTGGTTAAACAATTATTTTTGACGCTTCCCTAGGCCTGGATAAACAAAAAGTTCTTTAATCGTTTCCTAAAAAGTTTGATGGTTGGTTGTTGACGAATGACGGCAGGCAAACCATTCCACATGGAAGGAGAGCTGTTTGTAAAACGTTTGTTGACAACTGATGAATTGCAGACAGGTTGATGCAACTGAATATATAAAGACGAAGGAAGTTGGTAAGTTGAAGAACAACGCAATTTAAGTTGATGAAGATATGATGGTTGAGATGTATTAAGTAACTTGTACGTGAGGGCGGCGAGTTTAAATATAATGCGTTGACGTATTGGTATAGTTGAATGAGTGAGTCTGTGCTGGAAGATAAATGACTGATATTTAGAACAATATTTTCAACTCTATTTTAAACTCTTTAAAATAAAGTTAAAAAGTAGGAAGGAAGACCGTAGAGAAGAGAATTATAATAATCTAAACGTGATAGAACAAGACATCGAACCAGTGCAAAAACAATATCTTCATTGAAAAAATTACGAATATGATGAATAGTCCACGTATAGTTACAAGATTTGATCAAAGCTAAGTCATGAGAATTAAAAAAAAAGAAGAGTCAAAAGTCAAACCTAAAAATTTAAGTTTAGAGGTTGAGGAGAGAGAAGAATCAGCCAAGAGAACGTGTGATAGTGGGAACCTTTGATAAGCTGTTGCGGAGTAGCAAGAAACGTTACTTTAGATTTGTGTGAATTTAGCTGAAGAAAGTTTAATTTTATGTATCAAATAAACGTCTTTTATTTATCAAGTTATGTATCAATAACAATGGCAAATCAGTATCAAGTAAGGGTTACGTAGCCGGTAGAGCGGTTCAAAAAAGTCGTTTTTGTGTTTCTTAGTACTAAAACGGCCCCATTATAATTCAAAGACTGAACGTTTCAAGATACGCAACATAACTTCATGCGCCATCCCTCTTCTATTCTTACCTTTTCGCTTTTTCTTTTAATTTTAAACTGTTCACAAGGACACAAATAGCTTTAAGAGCGCCATTCCAAAAAGTTTGTTCACAATCAATGAATGATAAACATAATTGTCGACTCAAATAAAGGTCTTTTATTGAAAGATAATTTTGTTGTAATTTGCAGTTTCATATGCTATTCAAAACTGTTAATTTTCAGAGCTATCTTGAAAATACAGTAATAAAAATTAATTTTTGTTGTTGTTTTTTCAACATTTTAATGGTTAAATTGCTAATATTGATCTTTCAATGAATAAAAAATTACCAAAATTTACTAAACTCATGTGATCAAAGAATAAATGGCTCAAGTTAAATGTTCGATATTTATATAGAATGAAAAATAAAATAATAAAAAATAATAAAATTAAATTATTTCAAATTAATCTAAATGAAAAAAATAAAATTAAAATTGAACAATTTTTCCCAGCCAATCAGCCAAATTTTTTACTCCTACCAGCCTACAATAGCTCTGGGGATTTCCCGGTTATCATTTGATTAATTTTTTTAAAGTTTGGTTGATTTTTTGTCCAAATGGTTGAAATGTTCAAATTTCTTCTGAGTTTGACCCTGGTTTTTATTGCATCGTTCTATTCAGTTCAGAGTCAAGTTAGTTTCACAAGTTGTCATTTCAGCTTGTTGTTTTAAAATTGAATTTAATTAAATTGAATTTAAAGTTTTAATATTATTTTGATTTTATTATTATTTAATGATTATCTTATATTATATTTTTATTTTTAGAAGTAGTATTATTATCATTGATTTAAAATTGTAGAGAGTATTAAATTCATGGTTTATTATTAAATTAATTAAATTTTAATTTCTTTATATTATAGTTTAAAATAATAAATTATATAATTATATAATATATTATATATGATGTTGATTATGGATAACATGCATATCATAATGATAATTTAATATAATTATTAGCATAATAATTTTTACATCACCATTTACACCGTAAAATAAAATCATAATTAAAAAAACAGTAAAAAAAACAATGAAAAAAAAATTTTCATATAATTAATAAAAAAAAGTAATTACTAACAATAATTTATAATAAGATAGCTATTAAACCAAAAATGTAAAAAACTTGGCATTTTACTTATTAATTTTTTTTATTAGGAAAATGAATATTGTGTACATAACTCTTACCCTCCGAAAGACAGGTATTATGATCTCTACTCTATAGAGTTATTTCTTTTTTTTCAAATTGGTTTCATGTTTATTAACTATAGTTAAAAATATTATATAGAAACCCCATCATTTCAAATTTGTTATTCATAATTTCATATGTACTAATCAATTATTTTTTTCACACTTATCCTATGAGTTTGTACATTTGGTAATAAATTTTTTCCCAGGCCAGTTATTCCGACCTACCACATCGATTTAGATCTTGCACCTCAGAATAGATGGGATGATTTGGCTTTCCATGAAGGGGCAAAGGTCAATTCATTAATTTCCAATTTTTCTCATTGTTTTTTTTTTCTAATTCATCATTGTCATCGTCATCATGATTAGTTATTGTCATCTTCATTATTATTTTTATTATACTCCAATCTTCATCATTCATTTAAGATCATTATCATTAGATCAACATTCGTCAATCGTTTTATCACTTTTTTAATAAATAATTTTCTTATTTATCATCTTCAGTTATCATGTTATCATTATTCATTATCATCATTTTTTTTTACTACTCTACTATCTATTGGCTAACATTACATTGCTAATTATTTTTAGTATACTCAGATATTTTTAATAAATATTGATTATATTTTAAAAACTGTTTATTGTGAACACTTTTTAAAAATCTTTTTTAGTTGAAGAAAATCCTTCAGGTATTTAAAGACGTTCTGTTAAGTTTTTCCAAATACTCAGCCAACATTATCAGCTTTGTTGATAATAATCTGGTTGGTCATTTCATCTCATTAACATTAATTTTATCATTCCTTAAAAATCATCCTCATATTATACAATTATTGTATAATTATTATTATAAAAAGATTAAAGGTCACTTACTCTTCCTTTTGCGCTTGCTTCAGAGGTTTCAACAACAAAAACACACACTGCGTATATGAATTCGCGTGAAAACCACGTATCATACACATTGCATATGTTAAGCGGAGATCTCTTTGTATTCGAACCAAGTCACTGCAAGACCAGGACCAGGCGCCTTTAACCATTGAACCATCACGCCGTCCTGGTAATTACAATGGTAATTATCATTCATTACTGTCATGTCATCATCACATTGAGTGTCTTAATGTCATTATTTACCAAACTTGCTATCAACAGGATGTTATCGTTGTATTTTGTCATTTTTTCTTGTTTTAGTATCATTCTTATGGCTTTGAAGTTTGTCAATGCAGATACTACAAATTTCATTTTTATCATACCACCATGATGATGATGATGGTGATGATGATGGTGATGTTGGTGATGTTGGTGAGAATGATGATGATGGTAATGATGATGATGATGGTAATGATGATGATGATGACGACGACGATAACGATTGATAATTGATGATGAATGGCAATTGGTGATTAATGACGATGACGATGAGAACGATAATGATGACGTTGATGAATCGTTTACATCATTACTATCACCACCATCGTCGTCGTCATCATGGCCAGGGTCAGCTGGTAGACACTTTGCCCCAACCATACAGAGATGAGTTGAAAGGATTAGCTAATGCAACCAATCTACCACTAGGTGAGTTTTGTGTTTTGTATCACACCTAAACATCACACACTCGCAACAAACACATCCTTACACTTATACTTATACGCACTCACATAAACACACTCACAAACGTAAACGCACATGCATATATAAAGTTACAAAAACATACACACACATACATCTTCACATACATTACCTAAGCATTCACACGCAAACTCGTTATTATTATTTTTATTACTATTTATTTTTCTTCTTATTTTTGTTATAACGCTTTTTTATTTTGTTCACACCACAGGGGAGGTTTTGCTTTACAACTTGTTCTACGAGGTCTTCACAGTTTGCACATCAATACTTGCAGAAGATGACAGAGGTGAGATTTGCCATGCTGTTATAGTTGTTACTGTTGTTGTTTTGTTATTGATGTTAGTGTTATTGCCACTGTTTTTGATGTTGTTGCTTTTGGTTCCTGGATGTCGTTGGTTTGCCACTTAACAGATACTCTTACTTTTATCATTGTCCTGTTGTTTAGCTGTTGTGTCTTTTATGAGTTGAAGCTATTGAATTGTTTATGTTTTTCTTTTAAAATGCAGTTGTTTGCTATTGTTTGGATGATGTTATTGGATTGAAGCAAACATTAACAGTAATACATACACACAGAAAACTATTGCGAAAAACGTTTTAGCAAATTTTACAAACTTAAAATAAACATTGCACCATAATAATGAACGAAATCTGGTTCATCCATAAATTTGAACAATTTAGTGCTAAAATCGGCTACGTTTTGAACTTCTAACAGATCTGCACTACCACTACAACTTCATTTAGATTTTATATAGTTTTAAAAATTTGCCTATGGGCGAAATTTCGAAAGTATTAATTAAAATATTAAAATGTTTGACAGTTAATCTTGACAACTTCAGTTGAATATGTAACAATAATCCTCCAGCTGTTCATTAACTTCTTGTTTGCTGACCAGGTGACCTCTCCTTCCTTGGCCTCTATCTACATTTCTTTTTAACTCACCTCTTGTCATTTTATTTTTAATAGTTGCCTGTCTTGTTTTGATGAGCAACACCGTATTCGCGTGAGCCGAAATATTAGTAGATTCTTTGTCACGGTTACTTTTTGTTGAACCTTTTGGCTTTTTTGTTTTTCCATCAATATTTTTTGCAATCTTAGCGTTTAACTGTTTTTCACTAAGTTGCAAGGGTCTTTTCCGACAGATTTGCATTTGTCGGTTTTCTAGGTGATTGTTGTAGTTGTTATTTTTTCCGTCAATTTTGACAAGTTCTTTTTGACTTCTTCTTTTTATGTTTTCTAAAATCTTGAAACCTTTGTTGGAACTCATCTTGCTTGAATATATGTGCGATTTAGAAAAATCTCTGAAAAATCTAGGTATCGAAGATTACGTTAAAGTTTTTGATATTAAATAACTTCTTTTGTTCATTATATACCATACAGTTCTTTGTTTAATTAATTAACGATTATTGCTTTATAACGTTTCATTGTATAAGCTGAAAATGATAATTTTATTACTTAAATAAACATTTTATTGATTACAATTTCTTGTTTACAATGTAGTTTATTGTTATGTTTTTTACTGTTTACAATATAACACTAAAATAGTAGTAAAAGTCATGTAAAATTTATTATTCTAAATTGTATTTCCAAAAATTTAATCTTTATGGTTCCTTATTCCAAGTTGGCAACATTTCATTTCTGCAATGGGTGCCTAACGTATGTGTTGGTGGTTAGTTGTTTTTAGTGTCTGCATCATTTTATTGTTCCGTGTTTTAAAACTAAATTAATGAAGCATTACTACAAGTTTTTACACACACACACACACACACACACACACACACACACACACACACATACACACGCACACACACACCGCTGACAACGCACACAGCAGTCCTGAAAGTTAACAGTGAACTAGTAGCACATTCTACTTGCTGGAGACTAATCGTAAATTTCTACCTCCTTCTCAAACTACTTCTCATTTTTATTTTCATTTTATTTATTTTATTTTATAATATCATAACCTTGATAAGCATAGGTGGATACTAAACCACTAGACACACAATTTAAAAATTCGTAAAAATTTCAAGGTTCAGAAGTTTTAAAAGTTAGAACCCTGTGATTCAATAATGATAGAGACTATAAACATTTCGACAATGATGATATGACAATAATAATGGCAATAATTATGACAACGACGAAAATTATTGACATGATGATAATGATGACGATGGTGATAATAATAATTCTAGTTGTATTTAATCTTTAACAGTTTATCAGTTAATCTTTAACGGTTTTCTTGGGTTGTTTGATGCCTTGTCGAGTAAGCAAGTGATCAATATGGGTTTTTAATAGTTTTTTTTTAATTTGTTTGTATGTTTGTTCATCAACTTATTGATCAGTTCACTTATTCATGACTTAAACCATCACGACTTACACAAACTTTGCAACCAGTATTTACACAATTAGTTTTTTTTTATAAATATAGCTAAACTAAGATATAAAAAAATATTGAACACAGTTTTACATGAAACAAAAAGTATTACTAAACAAGAACAAAATATTATATTGAATTGGGTTAATCATGGAAAGTTCAGTTGAAAATGTAAAAATAATCTTCTATTTGTTCATTAATTTCTTGTTTGCTGACTTGGTGACCTCTCCTTCCTTGACCTCTATCGACGCTCCTTTTTTGCTCCACTCTCCCATTTTGATTTTGTTTCACGGGAGCAGAAATATCAACGGCCGCTTTGTCATGGTTACTTTTAATTGGGCTGTTTCGCCTTTTTGTTTCTCCAACAACTTTTTTTGCAATCTTAGCGTTTTTGAACTGGTCTTCACTAATTTGCAAGGGTCTTTTCCGACTGTTTTCCATCGGTCTGTTCTTCAGGGAACTGTTGTAATTGTTTTTCGGGGTAACTTCAGTTTTGTAACTCCTCCCTTTTATACTTTTTGAGATCTTGAAACTTTTGTGTGAACTCATCCTATTTGAGTATAAGCACGATTTAGAAAATTACCGAATAATCTATTTAGGTGTCGATGATTGCGTTGACGATTTCCATTCAGAATAACTTCGTTAATTATATACCGTACAAATATCTGTTAATTAATTATGATAATTGCTTTAATAATGTCTCATAATATTACCTATCAATGATAATATTATTGCTTAAATAAACCTTTTACTGCTTTCAATTTCTTGTTTACAATGTAGTTTAATGTCATGTTTCTTACTGTTGACAATAAAACGCCGTAAAAGTCGTTTTGTAAAATTTATTATTCTAAATTGTTTTTTCTTACTGTTGACAATAAAACGCCGTAAAAGTCGTTTTGTAAAATTTATTATTCTAAATTGTTTTTTCTTACTGTTGACAATAAAACGCCGTAAAAGTCGTTTTGTAAAATTTATTATTCTAAATTGTTTTTTCTTACTGTTGACAATAAAACGCCGTAAAAGTCGTTTTGTAAAATTTATTATTCTAAATTGTTTTTTCTTACTGTTGACAATAAAACGCCGTAAAAGTCGTTTTGTAAAATTTATTATTCTAAATTGTTTTTTCTTACTGTTGACAATAAAACGCCGTAAAAGTCGTTTTGTAAAATTTATTATTCTAAATTGTTTTTTCTTACTGTTGACAATAAAACGCCGTAAAGTCGTTTTGTAAAATTTATTATTCTAAATTGTTTTATCAAAAATTTAATTTCCGTGGGTCCTTATTCCACGGTTGCAACATTTCATTTCAGCAATGCGTACCTAACTTATGTGCTGGTGATTGTTGTTTGTTTTTTAGCTCTACATCATTTTATTGTTCTTAGTTTTAAAACTGAATTAACGAAGGATTGTTAAAAGATGTTACACATTTGCACACACTTACACACACACACACACACACACACACACACACACACACACACACACACACACACACACACACACACACAAACACACACTGTAAACACAAACACTCTACACACCATACAAACACAGAACACAGCTGACAATTTACACAACACTCATACAAATGGACTGAAAGATGAAAAGTTACATACAATACTGCGAGCATTCATTCAACCCTCAGTAATCATCCTTCATCATCATTGCCTCTTGAACATAAATTTTGATTTGCATACTTATAAGATATATTAACTTATCTTAAACGCCCCGGTTTACAATCATCTTCTTTGTGTTCTTAACTTTTGATAAACATTTCATGCTAAATTTTCCTTATTGGGCTCTTTTGTCTGAAACATTTTACTTTTTTTTCAAACTATAGGCGCTATGTTATAAAAAAAATTGTTGAAAAGTTTATCACATTAAATATTTTGTTATTAATCAATCACATTTATATATATAAAAGGTTATAGCAAAGAAAATCAATCATAGGAACTTCTGTTGGAAATATAGCTATAATCTTCCACTTGCTCATTGATCTCTTGTTCGCTGACCTGGTCCCCTTCTTCCTTGACCTCTATCAACACTTTTTTTATCTTGACTTTCATATTTGTATTTTGAACAGTTGTCTGTTTTTCGCTGAGATGCAACGGTTTTTTGCGACTGATTTGCATCCTTCGGTTTTTCACGTGACTGTTTTTCTTTCTTGTAACTTCAGTTTCGTCATTTTTCTTTTGGTTCTTTTTTTATTTATTTTCAGAAATTTTCATTCCTTTGTGTGAACCCATCCTGTTTCAATATGTCACTAAAAATTCTATATATGGATGATAGAAATTGTAAACTTGACCATTTCGATACAGTTTATCGTTAAATTTTTTACTTTTTACAATTAAACATGGAGAAAATTATTAAAAGTAAAATGTCATGTACATTACATCATTTTAAACTATAAGGAAACACTGGAGTCTTTTTTTAATATAATCACCATTGTTTCTTGTTCCAAGTTTGCAGTGTTTCATTTCTGTATGCGTAGGTGACGTATACCTGCCAATCATTTCATTTTTCCATGTTTCAAAACTAGAATAACGAATCACGTGAGCATTGCTAAACGTCGTTACTTTATAATTTTACATCTTAGTGGATGTGTCAATAAATATTTTTGTTCTGGTTTATCAGCACGTTCGTTTTTCTGTAACATTGATTGGTTTTCAGAATCTTTCTACATGGACTTTTGTATATATGAAGAAGTGAATAATAATTGGAATTGTTGTAAGATTGATAGATTTGTTTTGGTTGATTGAGTAATTGGATGAATGGATGAACGAATGAATGAATGAACGAATGAATGATTGAATGAATGAATGAATGAATGAAAGAACGAACGAACGAACGAATGAATTAATGAATGTATGGTTTCTTTAAATTAATATGTGAATTTTTTAAATTTAGGAAACTTGTATCACGCCAGGAACATGGATTTTGGATTGTTCATGGGGTGAGTTATTGATTTTTTGATTTTTGCTTCTTGTAATTATACATTTGTTTGTTAATTATTGTGGTTAAAACGGATGCGAAAAACGTTTAAAAAAATGTTTCATCATCTCCATTATCACTGTTATGTACTGTCATCATCTTCATCGTGGTCGTCATTCTCGTCGTCATCACCATCGTTGCTACCATCATCATCGTCATCTTCGTCATCATCAGTTGGGACTCACAGAACAGCACCTGGCTGATGACGGAGGCCCTGAAGGATTCCGTGGTGAACTTGAAATGGAAGAAGAATGGGCAGGTTCTCTTCAAATCTGTCAACTACGTTGGCTACATCGGAGTGTTCACAGCCATGAAGCCCGTTAGTCTGTGATGATGACGAAGGAGAAGAAGAAGATGATGATAAAGATGATGTTGATGGTGAAGTTGTTGACGAATGATATTCAACCTATATATTGTCGTCATCGCACTTGCTTATTGTTCAGGATCATAATTATAATGGCTTTCAACATCATCATTTTCATCATTTGAACCATCATCATCTCCATCGTCATCATCATTCTCATCTTCATCTTCAAAATGTCTTGCAGGGTGCCTTCAGTCTAACTGTCAATGAACGATTCAACATTGATGGAGGATATTTGGGTGAGATGATGATAATAATCGTGATGATGATGATTATCATGGTGATGATTAACATGATTGTGATGATGTCAACGATCATGTTGATGTTGATTAAGCCTACCTCACAATAGTGGATATAATGGTAGTAATTTCAACAAAGACATCCACTGCAAACCTGCTTCCACAATTATTATGCACATACCTCTCCACACTCGTAATTTTAACAACGGTGGCGACAATGACGACGATGACGACGATCATCTTCATGATGATGATGATAGTGATGAGAAAGGTCATGATGCTAAAAATGATGATGATGATAGTGTTAAGAATGATGATGAGAGGCAACAATGATGCACTCCATACTCCACACCTCTACTCCATATATTTCCCATTTAGGCTCATTTGGGCGTGTAGGTTGATTAAAATCAAAACTGACACTAGATTAACAACAAACAACGCAAGTAGACATGCAACAAACCCACAAGCACTTACTTAGGCAGACACACTTACTGACACACGCACACGCACATATATATAGATGCACATATTCATACTGACATAGATAGAGACATAAAATTATATACACACAGACACATCATACAGAGACAGACAGACATTTATTGAATCACTAAGGAACACACACGCACACGCGCGCGCATACACACACACACAAACACACACGTACACTCACTCACAGGCATATTGAAATGGTTGCTCGGATACAGACAATCGTCCTGGCTAACATTTATAACCAGACAAGTCATGGAAACAGCTCGAGGTCATGATGATAATGATGATTGATTATGATAATGATGTTATATATATATAAATATAATAATGCAGGTAACATTTTATTTATGCATTTAATTAATTTATTTATAACTTAATAGTTTATTTTTTATTTAATTATTGTTTATTTAAACAAGGCTTAGGTACTTAAGCGCTCGTTGCCGATTTGAAAATTAGCGCTAAAAATTCGATTGATACGTTCTGATTTTTGGCATATAAATTATTTTTTTTGTAAACAGACTTTCATGACGCGTATTATTTGCTGAGAGATAAGGAACTTTTGGCACCTGTGTATTTCATTCTTGGCGGAAATCAAACTGATCAGGTTGATACGTAAGAGAATGATGAATTATTACATGGATACATTTTATGTAGATGAATGAGTTTATGATAGATAATGAATTATTGGATGGATACATTTTACGTAGATAAATGAGTTTTTGATAGATGATGAATTATTTGGAAAGGTGAATGAATTAAACTTGACAAAGTTGCACAGTTTTATAGATGATTTTTTGTACAATGAATTGAAGGCGGTTGTCATCACACGTTCAAGACTTGAGGCCATAGATGTTTGGCACCTGAGTATGGATAATAGCACATTCTACTTACTGGAGACCAATTACGACCACTGGTCCAAGCCACCTTTCTATGATGATAGGAGGAGTGTGGGCAGGAAATGCATGGATGGTCTGACTAAGAAGGTAGTTGTTGTAGCTCGCCTGATGGGGTGCCTAGCTATTTAATTTGTGAGGGGGTAGGGATTGGTAGCGTTTGGTAGGTGTTAGTGTATCTGTGTCGGTTTGATTGTTTTTTATAAATGCGTGTAAGGATGATGATGTAAGGGAAACAGCTATAAATCATGGTAAAGGAAATAAGGACTGTAAACAAGACGGTTATGGTAACCAGAATAAGCATCGGTGGATACAAAACCACTAGAAGTAAAATGTTGTTGAAGTTTAGAGCCCTGTGATTCAATAATGATAGGGACATTCCGACGATGACGATGATGATGATAATAGTAATAATGGCAATAATTATGACGACGAAAATTATTGACACAATAAACAAAATGATGGTGATGACGATAATAATAAATCTAGTTTTATTTAATCTTTGACAGAATGTTGGTTTTCTTGGGTTGTTTGATGTCTTGTCGAGTAAGCCAGTGCTCAATAAGGTTTTAAATTGTTTTTTTATTTATTTATTCGTATGTTTGTTCACCAACTTATTGATCAGTTCACTTATTCATGACTTAAACCATCACTACCTACACAAACTTTGCAACCGGTATTTGCAAAATTAGTTTTTTTTTATAAATATAGCTAAACAAAGATATAAAAAAATGTTGAATACAGTTTAATTTGAAATGGGTTTCATTATTACTAAACAAGAACAATATATTATTTTGAATAAGGTTAATCATGGAAAATTCAGTTGAAAATGTAGAAATAATCCTCTAGTTGTTCATTGATTTCTTGTTTGCTGACCTGGTGACCTCTCCTTCCTTGACCTCTATCGACACTTCTTTTCTGCTCAACTTTTTCATCTTTATTTTGTTTCACGGGAGCCGCATTGTCATGGTTAGTTTTTATTGGGCTCTTCTGCTTTTTGGTTTTTCCAACAATATTTTTTGCAATCTTAGCGTTTTTGGACTGGTTTTCACTAATTTGCAAGGGTCTTTTCCGACTGTTTTCCATCGGTCTGTTCTTCAGGTGAATGTTGTAATTGTTCTTCGAGGTAACTTCAGTTTTGTAACTCCTCCCTTTTATACTTTCTGGGATTTTGAAACTTTTGTGTGAACTCATTTTACTCTAATATTTGTATGATTTAGAAAATTACTGAATAATCTATCTAGATTCTATCGTTGAATGCGTTGACGATATCCATTCTGAATAACTTCGTTCATTATATACCGTACAATTTTTTGTTTAATTAATTTACGACCTTTGCTTTAATAACGTCTCATAATATAATCTAACGATGATAATTTGATTGCTCTGATAAATCGTTTACTGCTTACAATTTCTTGTTTTAAATGAAGTTTGTTGTTAAGTTTCTTTCTGTTTACAACTAAACACCAAGAATAGTAGTAAAAGTGATGTAAAATACTTAATTTTTTTTAATATAATCTTCATTTTTCGATGTTTCAAGTTTCGAAATGTTTCATTTCTGCTTGCGTGGGTGACGCATGTGTATGTGTAGATGTTTGTCTCATTTTAAGCTCAATCATTCATGTTCAAAAATGAAATATCGAATCGTGTGAGCATTGTTAGACGTTGTTACATTATAATTTTACATCTAAATGGAGTGTTATTAGGTATTTTTGTCAACTCACACACGCGCACGCACAAAAACAAACACACAGCTGACAACGTACACGACACTGATGCAAGTGAGCAGTGGAAGGATGGAAAGTTACATACAATACTGCCAGAATCCCTGCAGCCCTTGGTGATTGCGATCATCTTCTCTCACCATCACTGCCCCTTCAAGCCTAAATCATGATTTGCATACTTATCTTTATAATCTTAAAATGTTTTGACAAGATTTGATTGAGTAGTGAAAAGTGGATTGAAATATAAGATAAAGTTAATATGAAGTTGATTTTGATGATTTTATTGAATTTGCTATGCTGAATGTATGGAAGATAATATCATTGCCCTAACGGAAATGAGTGAAATAAATTTATTCAACAGTTGTATATGCCGCTCAGAAACTTTTCCATCTATTTATTTTGGGTTAAATTTTGTGTTTTCATTTGCTCAGATCAGACGCTCTCTTTGCTACTCAAATTTTATTAACATTTTGTTATGCATTTCTGATGCGGATCTTGATGTGACAGAATTAAAAATTTTAGTTGTTTTTCTTTGTTTTTATAAGTCCTAAATTGAAATTAATAAACTTTTTAGTTATGTTTTATCTGAATTTTATAAATGTCTGTTTTCTAATATTTTTAAGAGTTGGATTGTTAACAAAATATACCTGTTGATTTTCACCATCATTTATCCAATTAATATTCCAACAAGACAGCGAACGAATTAAATGTATAGAATTTGAAATCACCTGATTAGTAAGATAAGGAGAAAGAAAGAGTGGGTTACTTTCGTTCGTTCTGCGATCTACTTTTTTCGTTGTGCGGCTGCATTGAGTTGTGTGTCTATACGGGAAGTTAATTTGTTCTACATAGAAATAAATCGAAGACGAACCAGTATCATAAAACTTATCATAAACGTATCAGGTAAACGTATCATATATATCAATTAAACTTAAACGCCCCATTTTGCGATCATTTTCTCGATCTCACTTTTTTTAATCTTCCTTACCGGACTCTATTGTCTGTAACTTTCAACCTCCTCATCAACTATTTTTTCATTATATACGATTTCTATGTTTTTATGATAACGTTGATAAGCTTCGGTCGATACTATACCCCTAAGCGCACAAATTGAAAATTCGTAAAAATTTGAAGGTTCAGCAGTTTTAAAAGTTAGAACCTTGTGATTCAATAACGATCGAGACTATAATCATTCCGAGGATGATGATATGATAATAATAATGGCAATAACAATGGCAACGACGACAATTAATGACATGATGATGATGACGATGGTGATGATATTAATTCTGGTCCAATTTAATCTTTGACAGAATGTTGGTTTTCTTGGGTTGTTTGATGTCTTGTCGAGTAAGCAAGTGATCAATATGGTTTTAAATTGTTTTTTTATTTATTTATTCGTATGTTTGTTCACCAACTTATTGATCAGTTCACTTATTCATGACTTAAACCATCACTACTTACACAAACTTTGCAACCGGTATTTGCAAAATTAGTTTTTTTTTATAAATATAGCTAAACAAAGATATAAAAAAATGTTGAATACAGTTTAATTTGAAATGGGTTTCATTATTACTAAACAAGAACAATATATTATTTTGAATAAGGTTAATCATGGAAAATTCAGTTGAAAATGTAGAAATAATCCTCTAGTTGTTCATTGATTTCTTGTTTGCTGACCTGGTGACCTCTCCTTCCTTGACCTCTATCGACACTTCTTTTCTGCTCAACTTTTTCATCTTTATTTTGTTTCACGGGAGCCGCATTGTCATGGTTAGTTTTTATTGGGCTCTTCTGCTTTTTGGTTTTTCCAACAATATTTTTTGCAATCTTAGCGTTTTTGGACTGGTTTTCACTAATTTGCAAGGGTCTTTTCCGACTGTTTTCCATCGGTCTGTTCTTCAGGTGAATGTTGTAATTGTTCTTCGAGGTAACTTCAGTTTTGTAACTCCTCCCTTTTATACTTTCTGGGATTTTGAAACTTTTGTGTGAACTCATTTTACTCTAATATTTGTATGATTTAGAAAATTACTGAATAATCTATCTAGATTCTATCGTTGAATGCGTTGACGATATCCATTCTGAATAACTTCGTTCATTATATACCGTACAATTTTTTGTTTAATTAATTTACGACCTTTGCTTTAATAACGTCTCATAATATAATCTAACGATGATAATTTGATTGCTCTGATAAATCGTTTACTGCTTACAATTTCTTGTTTTAAATGAAGTTTGTTGTTAAGTTTCTTACTGTTTACAATAAAACGCCGTAAAAGTTATGTTGTAAAATTTATAATTTTAAACTGTTTTATCAAAAATTTAATATCCATGCTTTCTTATTCTAAATTGCAACATTTCATTTCTTCTGCAATGCGTACCTAACAAATGTGCTGTTGATTGTTTTGTTTTTTTAGCTCTACACCATAGAATATAGTAGAAAATTTATAAGGAAACATCCTTTGCAAGTAAAAGAGAAAACAAAGTTGATGTGGCCTAAAAAACCGAGATAATGCTAAAGCAATTAATAACATTTGACTTATTTTTCCATTGCAAAAATGTCGATCACAGTTTTTTGTTGGGTATCTAATTGAAATAATCCAATGCTTACTTAGTAAATCATATTCATTCCATTTTATTTCGAATATAATGGCTCCTAATTTTAGATGCATTGATTAGATACTTTTGATTTACTTTTACTGAAATACTTGTCAAATTTTGTTATACATATATATTTATTATGACCGACACAATATTTCATTAATATTCTATATATATATGTATATATATATATATATATATATATATATATGCTACTAACATAATTTTTGCGTTTAAATACTGTTTGAAATGGCGTTATTATCAACGTATGTATATACAGCCTTATATGTTTACAAATTTAAAAGTTAATTTAAGAAAAAACATACAATCTATGTATTAAAAAATGATTTTATTATATTTTTTTTCACAATGATGCACTTTATTTAAAAAATTATCTTGAGATAATCAATTTACGAATGCAAACCCTTTATTTCCATATTTTTTTGACAATGATGTTGATGAAAGTACTTGGTGAAAAAGACGATGACGACAACGACGATGATGACGACGATGAGGATGATGACGACGATGAGGATGAGTAAGAGGATGAAATTGAATAAGATGCAGCGATGATGATACTTGAGTGTGTGTACGGAATTTAATATCGAATCGACGTTATCTCGCTGAGGGCTACTACAAATAATCATTTCATTTTCACATTTTTTTCACAATTTTCATCGCTTGGAATATATATATATATATATATACATATATATATATATCTATATATACATATAAATACATAAATGCATACGTGTGTGTGTGTGTGTGTGTGTGTATGCGTGTGTATATATGTGTGTCTGCGTTTGCACCTAGTCATTTGATTGCTAAAATAATTATTTTTATCTTATGAATGAATGTATGTGTATGTACTTCTTTATATTGAAAGTTGTATATTGATTGCTTGTGGATAAATTAGAGTAGAATTGTTGTAATTGTAAAATTATTATCTAATAACTCTTATTATTAACGTTACTAAAATTTGTTTCTCTCTCGCTTTCTGTTTCTTTCTCTCTTTCTCTCTCTCTCTCTCTCTCTCTCTCTCTCTCTCTTATAATGAATACAACAAACATCAAAATTTTTATAAAAACACCAATGTTAAAACATAGAAATATTCTACTTGAAGAAAAAATCCTAAGCGTCTTCATGGTTCTTAATAATAAGCACAATGTACAAAGTAGCCGAAACTGTTGGAACTTTTCAAAAATGTCAGTTGAAGTCAGTAGATGCTCTACATTGGAAATACGTGAGAATACGTGTATATCATTCTTCTTTATAAACTGTTATACACAACAATTTTCAAAAATTTTGAATATTAACAAAGTGCTAATAACTTTTCTTTCGCTCGAGATGCCTGTAATGATCACGAATTGCTCTCAAACATTTTCAGACAAACTTCAAATACTCTTTCGATATTAAAAATATCTGAATTCAATCATTTTAAAATTAGTTTACCAAAAATATTTTTAGATATGTAAATCATTGTTTATGCATTTTCAATTGTTGATGACATTCGAACAAAACCAAAAAACTTATCTTTCCATGAAAAACATGTCACAAATAGAGATAGATAACTAGAAATAACTTATTTTAAATTTATGTCTTTATAAAACGTCAAAATAACTAAGAGTATATATGACACATTATAAAATAAAAGATTCATCACGAATTGAAATATTTAAATATTAAATCGAAATTAAAAATCGATTAATAAGAATTAAAAGCACTTGTAAAAAAAAGCACACCAAATACGTAAATACTTAAGCGTCTATATATTATATTATATGCATAAGCAACAAAGCGTACGTAAAATAATCAACTAGATTTTTTATTTGTAATATATAAATGTAATCTACAAACGTGATATCTTTTAGGTAACGTAGCCCACTTTTTTATAATTCAGACTGTACAATTAATTAATATAAATGTTATAATTTGTGTACACAAACACGTTAATTATTCTGTCGCACTAAACAGTTTATTGTAAGGCTTCAGTCCTCTTTCAAATCATTTGTTGCTTCGATTTTGTTTGATGTTTTAGCCAAATTTCTTTTATCGACTTTGAGTTTGACCAGCAAACAAATGAATTCAAAAATTTCGAATAGAGTCATGACCGTCAGTCCCAGCCACAAACTCATGATTCCACCGAGGGAGGATAGCAACATTGTCAGACTCAATGACCCTTCGTCTTTGTAATTGAGAGTAAAATCTGTTTCAAATATGACGATGATTTGGACAAAATTTTCTTTAATTAGATTCAAATTCTTCAACTCTTTAAGAATTTGAGTATCATTTTTTCTGCCGTTATAATAATCCATTTGAAGATTTCTATAATCAACAAATTTTTCAACGTTAGGAATGGAAGAATTTTGAATGTTCTGTTTATAAAATGCCATATGGTGCGATTCTTTGGGCCAAGGTGCGGATTCACAATTGTTGTGAATAGAAATCTCTTGGCACGGATGAAAACACTCCTCGTCGCAGATATTATCAACTTGAACAGAATCACTACACAAAAGTTGAGATATAAACTGGGGTATCTCAGTGCTTGTTTTCTTTTGCAAAATACTTTTTGTCACATTCCCACAAATTGTTTCGTTGGCTTGGGCAAGTTGTTCTTCAGTAAAACGATATCCGCTTGAGAGACAACTACACTTCTGCAGTGTGAAAGATTGAATGCAGTGCTCTTTACACAGAGATTTGGAATAAAATCCTACATTTGAGGCATTTACATATTTTTCATTATGACATTTTAATGTTTGGTAAGGATATGGCAACATTGTTATATTCATCATTTGCATCTTAATAGTATGTTCTCTCCCTAGACCAACGCTAAATCCCATCTTCATATCTGGTTCCTCTTCCGAATCATGTACCAGCACTTTCAGACCATTAGCTCTCGAATACACCAGCCCAGCACCGTATGTACCCGGGTAAACGTAGTCAACAAAATTATTTAAATAAATAACTAAGGTTACTGCACCCACGGAATTTTTAAATGCAGAATTAGCAGATAGGCCAATTGTGTAACAACGATAGTAAAATGGATGCCATTTTGGCTCAATTACTAATTCTTCGGCCACATTTTGGAGATTCCAATCAAACACTCTTTTGTCCGTTATGATGACACGCTGATATGAGGTGTCGTTTGTGCTAAGAACCACTGGCAAGTTAGAGAAATAACCGACTGGTTTTTGAAGTTTGTTCAACAAGTTCTCCACTTTGTCTTTGGTGACATTTAATTTTTTGTAATCAAGATGAGCTGTTGATTTTTTAATTTCGCTTACAAATTCTTTGTAAGAATAACTAAGCTGATCATATTTCGGATTCAAATTGCAGATTGTAATTTTCGGAAAAGTAGGTTTGTCCTCACTTTCTTCGACGATGGTGCTGTAGGGGTAGCGGAAATAATTTCTTGATAGCAGAATTATTTGCGTCAACAAACAGACGAAAGATAAAACGATGGCGACTGTCCAAAACACTGTGAAAAATATATTAGTAGATTTCTTGAGGTTTCCAACGCCTCTGATGTACACAGTCTCGACAAATAATTCGCAGTTTTTCTTCGCAAAAATTTTAAAGTTTTGAAGCATTTTCAAAAAAACATTCAAAATTTTATTTTCAATTTTCGAAAAATAGATATATAAATAATTAAATCTTGTTCGAGCTTATTGTTTAAATAGCTTTGGAATGCATTGTCTAAGATGGCGCACAATTTTTTACACCGCTATTCAATTTTCAACTATGACACAGAATAATGGTATTAAAAAGTGAAATTAAAATTTTTCAAAGCTGCGAACACTTTTGATATTTGAATTAATTTTTCCAGTTCAATTTTCATTTCAATTCAGAAGACATATCCTAATGGCATGCACTTGAAAAGCATTGTTCTTCTAAATATTACCATTTTCATACAATATTTCACATTACTTATTATCGAATCAATAGACTAAAGTCAAATTGAGAAATGGATATTGTCAAATTTTCAGTCTATAATGAGACTGCATTCGAGCTTCATTCATCAACGTTAGAAATGTGATTATGAATCTCTTTTCAGAAATTTTCTAAAAATAGGGTACTCAAACTCAATATAAATTTCATAAATTGTATTATAAATCATGTAATTATAATTAAACAATTATAAAAAAAATAACTACGAAAATTAATGATGTAACTGGTAAATCTGTGCAATGAATTAACGGCGTTAGAATTCTTCTGATTTTAAATGAATTTCTGTTAAAGAAAATTGTTTGTCACATTACTTAACTACTTAATACAAAGGTGGGCATGCGGCCCGCAAAGCTATTTCATGCGGCCCGCGAGGCCTTGTTCGCCAAAAAAAGTCAGCCAGACAATATGACCAAAAAAAGAAGCTGAAAATCTAAAAAAATTCTCCTCGGGTTTGAAAAAAATTTGCTATTCAAGTACATGTGCGGCCCTTTTAAAGATAAAATAGTTCTCAATGCACTCCTCACAGCAAAAAGTTTGCCCACCCCTGACTTAATATAATCTTCAATGTTATTTGACGAAAATCAAAGTAAGCTGGAATAAATCATTAAAATAGTGAAAACGTTTCTGTTAAAATATAATATGATACAAAATATGAAAATGTAAAGTGTCGGTAAAACCTTAAAGAGAGATATGAATTAGAAGTTTTATAAAAATTGCTCGAAATAGCTCGCTGTAATTTAATAATTAACACATTTACAAAATGATACATAGGTAGTTCTAATCATGTATCAAAGATGAAGCAAGCGGTATACTATTCCTATTTTCCATTTTTTAACGCACTTTTAACAAAAGGCATTGTAAGATGAAAATTTTTAGTCGGTGGTGCAGGAAGATTAGATGTTATTTTGCAAACAATAAAATGTGTACGTGCATGTGTGTGTGTGGTTGGTTGGTAGGTTGGTTGGTAGGTTGGTTAGTTGGTTGGTTGGTTGGTTGGTTGGTTGGTTGGTTGGTTGGTTGGTTGGTTGGTTGGTTGGTTGGTTGTGCTATAGAATAAGTTGTGTTGTTGGTGTGAGGTCAGCAGAATATTTTAACACCAACTTACCGACAGAACGTAACCTCTTTTTAAGAAGGTAATAAAAACTTATAGTTTATGTTCACAGATTTTTATACTCAAGTCTTAATTTTGATAGCTTAGAAATCGAACTAAACCACTTATTCCATTTCGTCAACTAGTCTGATAAATGTCAATTGGTTTTACTAATCATTTGCATAAAAGCAATAAAAACATCTGCAAATACGTATGATAGTATCGTCATGAACATTTCAAAACGTGAACTTATTTTTTCAAATTTTGAATAAACAAATCTTTCAAAACAGAAATTAACACGTAAAGAGATCAAGTTAACGTTACAGCATTCATTTTTTTAATCTTTTTAAGAGTGCAATCTTGCGCACATGTTACCCAGAACCGCATGAATTATAGTATTCTTTTATTAATTCATAAAAATGAATTGTGACTAAAAGACAAAAAAAAGCATTGAAAGAAAAAAAAATGAAGAAAATTCTTACGACCGTTTGAAATTAATTTGAAACGCAAAGAACTGCCAACATTAAGTTGGTAGTTGAAATTTATTGATCAACTATTAAATAATGGAGAAAGTTTCTGTCGCAAAATCTGCCCATTCATTTTTAAGCTTTCGCGAGGTTTCATGCTTTTAATGTTTTCAGAGATTTCATTTCTCTTCTGTTATTAAGCAGCTGAAAAATTTCAATAATAATAATAATAATAATAATAATAATAATAATAATAACAATTATAATACTAATAATAAATTGAAAATTAAAGACCGAATAAACGAATGGGTGGATAAATTGAATGTAACAAATTAACGAATGCATTAATGTTCTATTTAATGAACAATTAAGTATTTAAATAAAGGAACGAAGTCATGAATCAACAAATAAATTGCATAATTTCATCGCAGCGTATAATAAACATTATTTATTTGTGATAAAAAGTATATTCATGTGTTTTCTATTAAATATTATATATATATGTATAAATTATAATTTAATTTATTACTATTTCACTGTTCACGGAAACACGGAGGGAAAGAGACAGAAGAGAGAGAGGCAAGGTAGCTCCTACTTGAAATTGTTATTCTTCAAATTTATATTTATTATGGGAACGTGTTTCTGAATATCTTTCTTATTCCCTTCATCTCTCAATTCCGTAGAATTTTTTTTTCATTTTTTTTCATTCTCTCTCTCGTTTTCTCTCACTCTCTCTCGTTTTTTTCAAGATTGTTTCAGTTAACTCTCTTATTATTTTTCTGTCAATCTTTCATTTTTTTTGAAGGTTTTTCTTTGTCCCTACCTTTCTTTCTCTCTCTATTTTTTACTCTCTTTATTTCTCTCTCTCACTCTCTCACTCTCTGTCTTTTACCCTTTTCGCTATTCTCTCTCTCTATTCTTCGTCATTTTCTTTCTTTATTTCCTCTCTCTTTCTCGCTCCTATCTAACTTAGTTTTAACTTTCCTTTTCATCTTTTCATTTATCTCTCTCTCTCTTTCTCTCTCTCTCTTCCACACACACACACACACACACACACACACACACACACACACACACACACACACACACACACACAAATGGACAGAGACAAACAGACATACACACACGCATGCACGCACACATATCCCAGATACATAAATATACATATATGTCTCTATTATTTCTAGCCATTGCATTGATAACTGGGAATTAGATAAATAAAGTTTAAATTGCCAAAAAACGAGATGAATATTAATGTCGCCGGAATGGAATTTTGAAATGTTGTCGATGTCATTCAGAGCTCATTATCATTGGCTGAAATGTTTATTTTGTTGTTGAGTTGCTGCTGAAGTTATTGTTGTTGTTGAGTTGTTGCTAATGGTGTTGTTGTTGTTGTTGTTAATTGATGCTATTATGTGTAGTTTTCACTTTTTTTATGTTGTTTTTCATTTGTTGTCATTTGTGATGTTTTGCATTTTGTTTTTTAATTGCTTCTGATGTTGTTTTGTGTGGGTTTCCATTGTTTTCGCTTCCCAATTTTGTGACTTCGAGTGACCGTGACGTCATCGTTGAAGAAATTTGTTGATGTCATTGTTAACATTATTATCAATACTACTACTACTAATAATAATAAAAAATAATTATAAAAATCAAGTGATACAACTGGCAAGTTATTCGATAATTAAAAGGTCATAGATAGAATAGAATAAAATAAAATGAAAATGTTTCACAATGCTTTTGCTAATGATTTAGAATGTTAATAGTATTAGTAACATTATATCAATGCCCTGTTTTAGACTTATCTTTTAATAAATGCATCGTTTATGCCATGTTTGATAGTATCAATAACAGCCTTACTCTGTGATGTCATTTTCGCGGTAATATTGTGACATCACGTTGAAAAAACTTTAAAAGAATTTCTGGAAAAACCAGCTCTGACCGAAGTTCAAAAAATAGCATTATTAGGAACAGGGAGGATAATAAGAACAATCCTCGGATGAACCTCTTTTGGAAATAAACAAATGCCGTCTATTTTTAATTTATATTTCATCTTAAATTTATGATTAACAAGTTCGAAATAATAATTATAAACAATAATAATGAATTGAAGTTATATTTTACTGTCTTTTTTATGTTTCTTTTCCTTCTCTCCTCTCTCTTTCTTTCTCTCTCTCTTTCTCTTCTTTTTCCGTATTTTTCGCTATTTTCTTCTCTCTTTCTCTTTTCTTTTCCCTCTCTCTCTCTCTCTCTCTCTCTCTATATATATATATATATATATATATATATATATATAATCTCACAATAAACTGTTAAACATTAGTTAGGCAGTTTAACGATATTAATTTTATTCTCGATGCTGAAAATTAAACATAAATTTGATTATAATTCAATTGCCAGGGTGAAATTATTTTTTCGCACTCATTCATGGCGCCTATGATGCTTAATCAAAGTTTTTCCGTACATATCTGCGTCGTTGTCGGACTTTCATTGAGTTTTTCGGCTTTCTTGTCAAGATTTTCTTATTTATTCAAATAAAAAATAATTTAATTTTTAATAATTATTATGAATATCAATACTATGAACATCATTTTGTTGTTTATAATAAACGTTTTAGTTGATTTTATTAGCTTCATTAATTATTTAAAATTAGTTATCAGCCCGTTGTTGTTATTTATTTCTCTTTGTTTTTTCCCAGCTACATAGTGAAAATATAAAATGAAAATAATTTTTTTCGCTTGTTTAAATTTTATTTTTATTTTAATTTTTATTTATAAATATTTAAAGCCAGACCTGATTGTTATGAGTATCATAAGGTTTGTGTTATTGTTGTCATAATGGCATATGTGTGCGTGGTTTTAATATTCCCGCCATTACAACAGACCCAAGAAATTACAATTGAGAATGGCGATAAAATGTTTGTTTTTATTTTTATAGCGCAAACTTTATTGTTCTTTGATTGGTTTTGAGGGTCTGTTTTGGCGGCTTTCAGCGGTGTTGTTGTTGTTTTCAATGTGTTTGTTATTGTTGTGTGTATGTTTTGTTATTGTTTTTTGTATGTATCATAGTTATTATTGTTGTTATGTTT